TTTACCGTCTTAAAATGCAGCCAAATTGGCTAAGCCAATATTTACAACTTATGTCTTTTTAGATTATGTACAATTAAATGTAATAGATACATAGGTATTAATCTAATAAACCGGTGAGTTAGAAGTATAAATAAAAAAATCCTCATGCAAATAACACTACTTTAAAGCCATTTTGCCCACCATGTCTCACTATAATTTTCTTGTATAGTTTGGCTCACTAAACGCGAAAATCACACTTAAAATTTTTTTCATGGAGGCGTTTTCGAGATATGAATTTTCAATTATTTTTTTTTTAATTTTCTGAGGTGTTTTGACGTTTTAGAGTACACTTCGAGTTCTAATTGATCGATTTGACCAAACAAGCACTTAAATCAAAGGTAATTGAGCCATCTACAACTTTCTCTTGTATAGTTTTGGTATCGGCTCAGTAATTCGATACTGGTAATTTTATGAAGTTGAATAAGTCCTTTTTTTTTACAAAAATCGAGGTCAAAAATTTACATATCTTTCTGGGAAAGATAGAAATCGAAAAGATAAGTCCAGTTTGATTTATTTTACGTATAGATTATACTTAAAGGAAAAAAATAAGCTGCTATTGATAAAAATCCATGGATACATGGCAAAGTTGTGAATTTTTCAGTGAAAGACCAAAATTTAGTTTTTTCAAAAATTTTTACGTTTTTTCATTTTATTGAGTTATATAAAGTGTAATATTGAACATTGATTTTTATTTTAAACATTAAATATTGAAATTGAATGATATAATGAATATTGAACAATAAATATTGAACCTTGAAGATATTAAAAGTTTTATTTTGTTGTAATAAGCATAGGTTTAACTAAATCTGGTTCCTTTTTTGTTTTTTGTTGCTTTCGTATTCCGTTTCTCGTATAAGGGACCAAATGTAATCATCCATCATGGCTGCATCCCAGAAGCCGTGATACCGCCGCTCCATAGCCTTCTGGTGAAAACGTTCTCCGTGCTCATCACTAACGTCGCCCAGATTGTACGGGTTATTTACGCACTCGAACTCTCTACTTCTTTTAATTATTTTACACTTTTTATTAACTAAATAAAACCATGATAAAAATACTCTGTTGAAATATCAAAAAATAGCAGTAAAATGTCACTATGCCAACACGAGAAACAAAAGAATTCACGTTTGCGGATTCATGTCAAATTTAAATTTTATATAATGTTTTCGGTAAAAAAAGTACGTAAAAAACTTAAAAATTCCAATCATGCACTTTAATTAGGTTTTCATTAAAAAATAAACATATTACGAAATAAAAGAAAAAAAATAAAATAAAAATCGTCAAAAAGCTGAATTTTGGTCTTCCACTAAAAAATTTATAATTTCGCCATTTTTTTTATGTATTTTTATCAACATTAGCTTGTTTATTTGTAAAAATGTCAGCTTCACGAAAAAAAATCCAAACTGGAGTTATCTGTTTGATTTAAACCTTTCCCAGGACGATATGTAAATTTTCGACCTCAATTTTTGCCATAAAAACGAATTTTTTAAGTTATTAAAATCGCTAGCGTCAAAATTCTTATCCGATATCAAAAGTATGTACAATAAAGTTTTAGAGGGCTCAAATAGCTTCAATTTAATGGCTTGTTTGACCAAATCGATCATTTAGACGAGAGACTCAAATCATCCGAGTGAATAATGCGCATAATCTCGAGTGTAATACTATACTTGATCTACTCCAATAAGTAGATAATTAAATAAATAAAATCTGACATCTGTCAAATGGTTAACCTTACTTTTTACCTATTTTAAATGTAATTATAGTCACCTTCTTTCAATTTAAAACCTAATTGGTTTAAATCACAGTGAATATTGAAATCGGCCAATCACTTATGCCTAACAACGTGAATACTGAATTTATTATTCACGTTGTTAGGAGGAAATTTATGTTTATCAATATTTACTTAAAAACCCAAAATTATGCAATAGGAGTAGATAATAGTATATTATGTATCAAGTTTGATAAACGCCATTTTATACATGAATTTAATTTAGGCGCGAGCAAGCTTGCGAGTGAGTGCTTAAATTAATGAGTGCATGGAAAAGTTTATAAACGAGGTGCATACTATACTTTTTCTACGACAAATACTTATTATTATCTTGAAATGATTTAAATCAAAAATTTGTATAGAGCGCCATCTATGAAACAATAGGGAAATCTGTGTGTCACCGTCAAATGTCAAATTTTTACATTTTATAAACACAATTATAAAGGTCATCAAAATGTATTTCTTGAAAATTGACAGTTTTTCACAGTGAAAGTAAAGAAAATGTTTTATGAGCACTTTACAGTGGAGTCCGTGCCCGAATTTAAGTTATAGTTTACTGCCGGCAAAATTAAAAGGTCAGTACAATGTTCATATAAACTTTTCAAATATTGGCGTTGAGAAACTATTTAATACTTTTGTATTTTTGTATTGAGATAATAAAATAATTTTCACATTTAGTATTATTTTACAAGAAAGGCAATTTATTTTAACGATTGTATGACATTTGACAACTGTCAACTAACTTAAAACTTACTTCAGCCCGTGACTAAAAACCTGTTGCTAACTTCAGCCCATGATTAAAGCGCCATAAAGCCACAACTTATCAATGTGTATTTAAAAGGTCACTTAGTATCATAGAAATATGTACGATAAAGGGCGTTTTAAAGGTGGGAGTAGAAAAAATATTAAATACAATACCAAGAATTATTAATAAAGGTTTAATTAAAAAACATAACAACATAATTTTATTGATTTTAAAGATGTTTCGATAATTATGAAAAATTAATTTTTTTTTTGTAATATTCATAAATTTTGAAAATTAAAAAAACATGAAAATTAAAAATTTTGGAAATTTTTAAAATAATAGAAATGTTAAAAAATGTGATAATTTTGGTAATTTTTGTCCCGCCCGTCACAATTAAAAATTGTGAGTAAAAACCACAAGTTATTAAATTAATATTTTATAATATTATTTGTATTGTGCTTATAATTATAAGTTAACTGTGCTTATAATTATAAGTTAACTTATTAAAAGCATAAAAAACAATATTTTAAAATAAATTTTATAACGTGGAGTTTTTACTCACAATGTTTAATTGTGACGGGCGGGACAAAAATCCCCGAGTAACGTGGAATGATTTTAAAAATTTATGAAATTTTAAAATTTAAGTTTTAATTTTTTTGAAAATTTTGAAATCTAAAAATGTTAATAATTTTTAAATCTGAACATTTTGTTGCGTTCTAATATTTTACTCGCCAAAAGAATGATAACATGAAAAAGCGGTTTGGTTTTAATTTTTATGTAATAATTAACAATCAATTTTCTATCTATGATCCAAATAAATATTTGCTTATTAAAATTGTAAAATCATAAAAATGTTAATGTTGCATTTACGACATCTAATAGTAATTCCGTTAATAAAACATACATTAGTACTGGTCGGAATAAAATCATTGTAATGAGAAAAGTTTTCGTGATTTAATTATTTGTGACAGCATGAAATTTAAAATATGTAAATACAATAAAGCTTAAAATATTGAATTATGCAAAAGATACAAATATAATATTATTTGGTTTACAACTCGGGGATTTCTGTAATAACTAGTCACTCACCTTGTGTAAGATTTTAATTTGATTAAGATCGTTGTAGTGAAGAATCGCCGCCTTCCTTTAATTTTAGCGAAATTGCTCATGCATGAGAGATAGAGGAAACACTTTCAAAAATCGTCTTGATCCGGTGGCGAAAATTGCTCTATTATTCCGGGTAAAAAAATCCGAACAATATTCAAAATATTGAAATGTAGCCTTTATTTACCAATGGCAATCGTAAACAATCCTGAATATATTTTACAAACTTCATACTTATTAATTCAAAATAATTATGATAATAATACTTACCTTAATCGAATTGGTTTGGATTGTAAATAAAACATTAAAAGTATTTTTAATTTATGTTTATTTTACTTTCACAAATATAAATAAGACAATTAATTTTGAACGGTTCTTCAAGCCAAAATATTTTATACTTATCACTTAATTTACTAATACTGACCAGTATTTATATAACAAAACAAACATAACAAATTCGTTTTTAGAAACATATTAATCTAACAAATTATTAATACTACTATTTTGGCACTTAAACAATAACAATATAAACCTTCGATATTTTTTATTCAGTGTATGACATTCCTTCTACAGAACGCTGATAATTCCTTTCGTATATTAGGCTAAATATATATTTACAATGACATTTATATATTATAATTATTTTGATCTAAGATTTTGGAAGCTTAAGCACAAAATAATAAATTAAATGATAGTTTCAATGGAAGAAATACAAACACCCTGTATATAAGCCGTGTTTTCCCAAGTAAGTATAAATTGGAATTAAGTAAATATTTATTAAAAAAAATAACAGTATTGACCAAACAAAAACAACAGGTTATTTATTACGTATATACAAAAAAACATAAACTTTTAGCCCTAGGTACATGTATATTACAACAAGCTTTTATATGTACAAATATATATATATAATAGAGACTAACACGTTTTAGATGAAATTACCATTACATTTTGAAAATTGTTTTTAGCGGACTTAGATTTTTTCAGTTCATCCGCTAATTTAAATGCATATAAATATGAGATATGTACACTTTTGACGGTTTTTTTCGTTATTTTTATTAAGCTGAATCGTAAATAACATTTTTATTAAAAAAATTCGTTGTCCAATACCTTAATTTACAATTTTTACAAGTGGTATTAAACAATATTATCACATTTTTTTGTTAAAATAGAAGAAGAATTTATAAAATTATTCAAATATGATTTATTGTTTAAAATACATTAAAGTAAAGGTATTAATAAATTATTACAATTGATTTATTTCCCTAGATATGTATGCATTAAGATTTACATAATAAAAATATAATATAATTGATTTTATCATTGTTTAATATGAAAAGTGATATATTCAGCATTTATATGATATGTTTTTAATTTTAAATATCATGTATGTATGGACTGAATATTGCCATATTTAGACATTTATTTTTTCAACACTGACCTATGACACATATTCTATCTACATACATATATAATCCGATTAGCACGAACAAATATGCACAGTTTTTGTTTTTTTTTTTCTGAAAAAACAAACGCCTAAATAAAGTAAATCTATTATAATTGTCACGGCTTTTATAGAGACGGTAAGAATTGTGAAATAAAATCTGAGCAATCAAAATGTTTGAGCTGCATTTTTTATTAGTTCTGGGCAAAGGATAACGTACCAGATAAAAAACAATGAAGTATAACAGCTGCAAACTGCGGTAGCGCCCACCTAGCCATACTGACACATCCTGTAACAAAAAACATCATATATTTTCTAATTCAATATACTGGCTATGCAAAAACTACGTTTCCCAAGTTTAAAGTAGTCAACTTACACAAGCTGGATAAATTCAATAAAGTTTCTTATATACAGGGTCCTCTTCAGCTAAAGTTTTTATAACTAAATATAACACAGCTTTAATTTCAAATTGTTTCCAAATTAAAAACTCCTAAAAAGTTTACTTGGGTATATATTTATTTTACCTTCTGTTTATAATGTCATTATTACAAGTTTCCAATGTAACTACTGTAATGTATTGTAATGTTTACAAATAAATTAAAATTAAAATTCAGTCAAATTACTCACAATTTTCACAACACACAACCCGGGCTGCAGCGGTGACAAGAAGACACTTATTTAGCATGAAACTTTATGAAGCTAGAGCGAAAAGTGCGGTGTAGAAAGGGGTGCACGTGCCGCAAGCGTGACAGAACGGTAAGGTCGCTTCCGCCGAGGATAGCGCACCTAGCAAAGCGGCAACACTGTCAACGTAGACTTTTGCGCCATTGCTGGTTGAGGGATCCAGCAATTGCAATCCCTAACCACAAACCTGTAGACCCATTATTAAATATGGCCTTCCCTTATTGTTCAATGGCAAAAAAAACCTACAAGTTGCATAAACATCAACCTAAGAAAATACAAAAATTCGACATCCTAACAATCCTTTTAATAACCCTCCCAATCATATGTTATACCAAAAAACATAAAGGAAAGAATTCGAAACTTTGCTGCCAAATACAGAGAGAAAGAAGAGTCAAGAAAGAATCACTTCTCAGCCTTATGACATATTAACTGTTGTTTAAACACATTTTAGTTAAATGCAAAACAAATAATGATTTAACACAATTGGACTAAATTAATAATTTACTGATAGAATTAACTAGGTTACATTTTATGTATCTGAATTATTAACTTAATTATAACGCAATGCCTTTTAAAAACACATACCGGACATCGACTATACCCCAACGCCAGTAATTCGGACAAAAAATTGAAGCACTTCATTTTGCGAAATAAACGTTGAAAAACTGACAAATGAGAAATGATTGTTTTTTAAATTTGAAGTTTATCTACTGAGATTTTTATTTAAAAGTCTTTATTCGGGGTATTGATGTATCTCTTGCTAAGTTAGCAATTCCGTTAACACAGTAACTTTTGCTCAGTTTGGTTGGTATTTTGGAACGGTTTGGAAGAAAGTTTGAGTCAGTGTCGTATCTCTGGTATACCTACACAGAATGAGATAAAAGGCCTTAGACGAAGAAATATTATAATTATTTATTATTTTTCTTATCTTTTATTGTTTATTATTATAATATTGCTAGGTATAATGCGAAGCAATTGGTATCAACATAAATCAGTTCTGCCAACATACAGACTCTAATTACAATGACATTTAATAAAAATATTTATAATTAAATTTACAAGCACAAGTTGTAATGAATTAAAAATAAAGTAATACCATGCATTTAAGAACTATATAGTTTTTTTAAACATTTTTATTTATTTTTAGCTAAAATACGTTCATTTGTTAAGTTATGTTTTATCAAAATTAAGAAGTTGGGCCTTCAAAACAAGGTTATGGTGTTATTAATTCTGCTGCTTAATTTTATGCGGGGTTTTAAGTGCAATATGTAAAAGTGTCTTACTAGTGTGAAAATGAATAATTGTGTTGTGTTTAAAGTAAGTTTCTTCAAGAAACCACCAAAACTTTTAACATGCCTGATTACAAATACAGCATAAAACAATGTTATAGAAAAGCCTTTATGAACAAATTATAACGAATTAAACGTTTTATTTACTATTTTTTGCCTTATGTTGCTTTATTATTTAGAACCTAAATTGTTTTGTAGAACATGTTTTTCTTATAATAATTTAGAAACTCATTTAGGGTTGCCATGTTTGTAAAGTATAGAAGCAAAATCTTTCAGAATTTCAGAATAAAATGTAACATTTTATAGTTGTCATATAGGAAAAATGTAAATGCAATATTGCAAACATATCTAGGTTATATGTTGAGTTGGATTTAAAATATATTGTTAAATGGATATGTACTATTTTAGTCTTTTATTTTAATTTAACAAAATATGTTTATATCTAAATTACACTAATGCAGTGATAGTAAGTAATACATGATTTTTATATTATATTTATTTATTTTACACTATGTTATAGCTAGCAAAAAAACTTCTATATTTTCAAGTTAATTCTTTGAAGTATTCTTCTATTTCTGCTGCCTTGACAGGATGATAATGCAAGGTTCTGTGTTTGGTCAGGCACCGAAACCTTTGTTTAAGAACACCAAAGCATCGCTCTATTACATTTCTTGCTCTTATATGAGCGACCTTTCGGTGTATTTTCTGAGGCATCCATAATAGTCGTAAGCAAATACGGTAACAGTGGGTACCGTGAGTCACCTAAAATAAATATTATGTTATACAGGGTATCCCATAATTATCGTGCAATACTTTAACAGCAGATTTTACGTACAAAAATATGAAAAAAAGTTCCTATAAACGTAGGCCGAGAAATGCTTTCTAAGAGAGCTGAAAGAGGAGCCCCTGAAGATGGTTTTTATTTAATATATCCAAAACCGTTTAAGATAGAAAAGTAAAATTTTGGGAATTAATCAAACTTTTTATGGCCAATAAGATGTAATAATAACAATTCAAAATTTCGATGAGGGGTGGGTCAGGTAGTTGGGAGTAGGGGTTAAAACCACCCTAACTTTTTTGTATGTGTCTCGTGCTAGGATTTGATGTCAGATTATGAAATTTCGGAGTTTTACACACAAAAAAGGTCCTCTTGTTAAACTTTGATATTATCCACTGTTTTACCTTAAAATCAATTTACATGGCATAAAAGATCAATGAATTCACAAAAGAAAAAAAATCAGCTTAGGCCATGGAACACAGCTGCCATTTTTATGAAAAATTATTTAAGACAGGTGACAGTTTCATGTACTATGTGACAGGGTGTTTAAAAATTGTCCATGGCCTACGCTGAATCTTTTTCTCCAGTTGTGATTTCATTATGAATTTTTATGCTATGTAAGGTAATTTTTAAATCGATTTTAAGCAAAAACAGTGCATGCTATTGAAGTTCATTAAATGGACCTTTTTTATGTGTAAAACTCTAAAATTTTATGATCTCATATCAAATAATAGCTCAAGATACGTACAAAAAAGTTAGGGTAGTTTTACCCACACTCCCTATCTATCTGACCCACCCCTTATGAAAATGTTGAATTTGTTATCATTGCAACTTATTGGCCATAAAAAGTTTAATTATATCCCAAAATTTCACTTTTCTATTTAACGGTTTTGGAGATATTAAATAAAAAACATCTTCAGGGGCTTCTCTTTCGGGGCTGTAGCTCCCTTGGGAAACATTTCTTGACCTATTTTAATGGGAACTTTTTTTCTTATATGCGTAGAACCTGCTGTTAAAGTATTGCACGCTAATTATGGGAAACCCTGTATATGTTGGTATGTTTGGTTTATTAGCATAGAAAAGGCTCAGTACACACATATATATATATATATATATATATATATATATATATATATATATATATATATATATATATACATATATATATATATATAATCTGCACAAGCTGAGATCCGTTTATGATATTTTTCGTTCAAGATGAGATCCGTTTGGAAAGTCGGGATCCGAATTCGGATCTCATCTTGCATCGTGTGTATATTTTTGTCAGAGTGATCAGTGGTGTTAAATATGATTGTTTAGCAATTTTTGTCTGGATCTCATTTTTCACATTTTTTTCCTTTCTTATATAAATTTACTTTAAGCGTTTCATGCAAGGTGGCGCTCCAAAACATTTTGCAGCAATGATAAATAAAGCATAAGCTGAGATCCTATCAAAGTGGCAACGTTGTGCCGCAGATGCTATAAAATGGGCGAGTAAAGACTCGTTTCTTTTTTTTTCTGTTAAACATCTCTAACTCTGTGCTTCGTTGTAAAAGGTAAGTGTTTAATTTAATATTGGATTAGCATAACTTCTAAATTGTAAATATTTTTTATTTTTGAAAGTGAATTTAATTTAATAATAAATAATAATACATATGCTTAAATAAAATAAGTTTACAAGTTTATTAGTTTATTTGTATTTAGTAATATTTTTAAACCACAGTCCTTTTTTTAATCTTTAAAAATAACCTAATTGTAATTTAAAAATCCATTAATTATTAGGAAAAAGTTGTGTCAAAATAAGTAACAATAAGTAACATTTTATTTTAGATGTCGACTGTGACGAGTTTTTACGTGTTTTTTTATTTGTTTCTTCCTGCATTGGCCATTAATTATTTGCCGTGTACCGAGAATGTGGATCAACGACATATGGACCAAGCAAGGGAAATTATTCAAGATGCAACACCGGCAGGGTACATCTTGGGTGAGGTTGAAGCAATGACAACGACGGGAAGAAACCCCCATCGGTGGATTGCCACATTTACTCGAGATAACAACGAATATGAAACTGGTTGTCAGTATATTTCTGCTGTGCAAAGAGAATTTAAAAGGAAATGTCCCCAAGGAGCTGAAATAAGATGTGTGCAAGTAAAAAGTAATCCAAATGAGCGAGGTATTAAAGTGGAATTTTTAGTAAATTGTTTCTGTACAAACATTCCAAGAAGACGAAGGCGATCCTTGTGGGCCCAATGTCATGCCAGAGGGTATACACGGGAACCTGCATTGTGTAATTTTTAAATTCAATTTTATATTTTTAACCAATTTTTAATGTACCCATTTTAATGTTTTTAAATTTGTTGTAATAATTGAATCGGTGAGAAAAAGAACAGTACATGTCCAAAAATATTATTTTGACAACTCATTTTCTAAAATCAATTTAAAAGTTTAAAATGCATTTTTGTGATAAGATATCAATCATTTTACAAAATATGATTATTATATTTTATAAAATAATTGAAATATTCCCACAAAAATATA